AAAATTCGTTTGATGCTTAGTATCGATTTATCAATACACGTGGTGTGAGCGGGCAATGGGAAAGTGCTGAACGAAATGTGCCACAAGATGTGTGAACAGGGCGACTCGGGCTTAAGCGTGCGCTCTTCGGCTGTTTGCACATAGGTAGGCGGATGCAATGACTACTGCTCCCTTTGATTTTGGCACGGTTCGGATTTCCTCAATCTCCGTTTCTGACCAGCATTGGTTTCGCGTTTCTGTGTGAAGGTTGGCGGAAGGGAGATGAGGATAATGAAACAACTTTAATCTGTGCTTGTTTTGCTAATTGATGTAACATACTCGTTAATTGGTGTGAACAATCCCGAACGTACTTCTCATTCCTCTAAGTGAACACCACTTGTTTTAGCATTGGATATTAAATAAGAAGTTCGGAGTAAGGTTTTCGTAAAATTAGTCAACAACTGAGATCCAATTTCTCTTAAATATTTTTCAAATGGGTGCATTGTGTGCATAACCTTGATCTAGCATGCTAACAAACTAAATCGCCTCCTATGGGAACCGAATTTTGATTTCATACAATCTGTATACTAGATTTGTCTTTGCGTATTCAATGCTCAGCGCTGACGAATATTCATGACGACATGAAGATAAGGTGTTTTCTATCCTCATTTCTCTGTTAGCTAGATTGCTGGTAGAAAGTCAACTTAGAGCATGATAGCCCTTAAAATCTCAGGTCTTCAACATTTGTCAGATGCTCCCAAAAGATTTCAAGATGTTCATGTATCTTGTCACAAAGATCACGTACCTTATACGACCGGTCGTTGAAAGTATAAAACCACCTCAAACACAACCACTGATACCGAGAAAACGGGTATCGAAAACAAGCAGTTAATTCAAGATTGTTGCAGCATCAATCTTCATGTACGCCTAACACTTATTGACTTAGATCCAGTGATAATAAGTGATCCTTTTAGGCTTTAATAATGATAGATTTAGGAGTTGTTTTGACGCTAAACGTGACTGCAGTTTTTGAAAGTGGTGCCATCAAGTCTTGCATGAATTGAATGAACATAAGCACAGGCAGAGAAGGCGTGTTAATGGGAGGAAATAATGGCATTCCTTGCTCAAATGCGTTTGAGGTTTACACTCTCTTTCTATCGACATATCATAGGGTCATACGCAATAGTGCTTCTACGTTGGACGAAAATCGCCTGCCAGCGGACACCAATTTCACATTCTAGAAAAAGCCCGACTAGTACCGTTCTCACTTCTCAAGGGAATGCAAACAAACTGGTAAAATCTAAAGAATCAAGAATCCGATAAAGTCAGAAGATTAAGTTCAAGGCTTTTTCTCTGGGGGCGTTAAAATCTCCATGACGTGCATTCTCAAGGCATAAAATAATTCGTTCATAAATTTTTAATGAATTTCACATCAAAATTTATCAGGCACACATTCCCAAATTCCATTTATTTAGACATTTCTTTCTTCATGTGCTTATTTATGCCCTCTCCCTCCATTAATCCGTCCGCTCCTGTTTACAAGTCTGTGTATCAGCCAAAGGATTCCAAAGACGCCGAATGATTTGGCGAAAATTGGTGTGTCGGAATAAACAACGTACGAAGATTGTGTGCCGTAACAGTGATAAGGCGGTTCTGTTGATAATTATCGTATAAAACACCACTTTGCAAGCCTCCTGAGTAATAAGTTTTATAGAGACTATGCACGCTTCATGTAAATAACACACATCTATGTCAGTGTATCAAATTGCCCCGCTGCATTACAAGCCCAAAATGTAGTCTGGCTTCCTCTTGGAGCGTTATAGGAATCAATGTAATTCACCTCTTTCTTACTGGCTTTTCTGGTTCCAGATAAAGGAAATTATTACCTTCTTGATGAAACAAAACCGCATAATTCCAAATCTAATGCCTTCATTAATCAGTGGAAATTTCCATCCAAAATGCGATGCCGGATGCGCTGCTAAAAGATTAAGTGTTCCTAACACGTCTGCTTTAGATTTCAGTAAATGTGCCTGATTTGATCTGATACCTGCAAACTGCTGCAGATCATGCAGTCAAAAATAAAAAGAAGTACAAGCCGATGAAGTAATTTTACAAAAATAGTGACTTTTGGGTACTTCTTGTCGTAAACATGGGTTCTAGTAAGCCCAAAATAATTTGTTGTCATAAGTAGATTTCTTGCTATTTTAAGGAGGTCTGATATCCCAATCGGCACTTTCACATTCACCGCGGTAGCTATTCGGATCAAATGGAACTTCCTCTATATAGAAGAGGCAATTTTGAAAAATGCAGAAATATGAGAGCAAATTGACAACTTAATGCATACTTGGTCTAAGCCGCCCCTTCATATGTTCACTTTTACATAGTGAATGATAGTGTCAGACAAAAAAAGAATTGAGATTAAAGATTCTACACAAATACATACATTATTTTCGCTAGTACATGTTTCCATTAAGGATACTTGCCTTTATTTGATCGTCTATTTCTGTCTAGATGATTTTCTGTGCTATTCTGATCACGGAAGTGCAAGTCAATTGAGCTGCCTCAAACATACTGAATAAGTTGACAGAACGTAAAAGTCTATGCAAACATCGCAACTGGGTGGATGTAATGTGCAAAATTAGTAGACAGTACAGAGCATTTCGTTGAAAACTGTAGCAGGATAATAAATAATGGATTTCCTGTGTAGGGGAAAAGTAATGTTCCAATTTAGAAGGAAACAGAAACTTACCAGAATGTATTTCCTCGAAATGACTTTCTTAAAGTCTTCCCAGACGGATCCGCCGATTGTTTCACATATTTATGAGTGGACCAACCAAATAAATTGAAGGTGAAATGATTACGCAAACAAACGGCTTTTGGACACTGTGTGAAGGCAGATGTAATCTATGTATGTACCGGTGCATCATGTGCATTTTGTTTACCTATCTTCTGGCAGTGTGTTCAGCACTGTTACACTTTTCGGCTCGCTTGCACTTATATCATTCCTAAAGCAAATTTGCTTCTTTATTGCAAGGATGAACCATTTGCAAAATATGAAGATACTTTTGAGGATGAGTACGACATAATTTCTACCTACTAGTTCTGCTTCAAAATCTAGGAAGCACAGGCTATTTGGTACCTTCTGCTGTTGTAGCCAATATTTGTTCTGTCTCGGATCGTGCACGTTGTCCTAAAAGTAGCCTTAATTGTGATCATTTTAAGTCGAGTGCTACGACTGGTACCTTATTACCAAAACGACAGATCGCAGGATGTGTATGCAAATCTCTGACTTCACCGCGGCATCTCATGGTTCGGTCAGACTCAGGTCCAAATGCTAACAATCTACGGGACCTGAGGTCGGCTTCTTGACCAAGTCACTACCCAAGAAATGAAAGAAATGGCACCCTTCGACTACCTATTGGACCTAAAGGAACCATACATCATGCTGTCTTAAACACTCCAAACTGAGTCTCAGAGCAGCCAAATGCAACGTTTAACGCAGACCAACTTATAATTCAGTCTTCTCTGGCACTCACTAAAAATAAGTGAATTAGCACCTAATCAACCATGCACTGGAGTACAGGGCATTTCAAACATACATTACTCCTGTAGCGAAATGAAGTACTTTTTCTTAACTACATTCAAATACAACAGTCCCAAATGTTGAGTTTTCACCAAATCCTGCGATAGTCTGTTTGATATGGAAAGGCGGTGATGAGCTGAATGTATTAGGAGTACAGGTGATGCCTTGAATAGTGATTATTTGGAACTGAACAGAGTGAGGAAGTCATTAGCTGAACAGTTTTTTTTTGCGATAAAAGAAGCGTAACTTCTGCTAATTTCTGGCTCATTCAAGCTGTGAAACAAATATGTGATTCAAGCAGTGCGCACCATGTGGAACTACTCAATTACATTCAGTAGTTGTTATGAGAAATAAGACGAAAAATCGCCATTTTTATAATTTCATTAGTTCAATAATTGGCAGAAAGTACCACAAAACTGACCGAAATGCTTCGTGCAGTGGTTCGGAAGCAATTTAGTACTTTTAAAAATTGTCCATTGTTGTGCTTCAGTCCTCCCCACACTACCTATTATGGTGATAGTGCACCCGTTTGGAGCATCGCCGTTGGTTGTGGGAGGTGAAGGCAGCCGGATGAGCGCATGCTCCTGCCTCAGCTACCCATACGATCGGTGGGCATGCCTGTGTCAATAGCTGTAAATTACTTGAACTAGCATTGGAGTGGGCATATTTGGCAGATCGAATCTCCCTTTAACCGTTAAAATTGGACCAGTATCAAATGTTAACCCTCGTCCTCTTATTCCTTTCACCGTATCCACTTTTGGGGGCCGATCGTGTACATTCAGTAGCCTCACAGAATAGGTTGCGTACTGCCTTTTTAGACATTCGACTTTCGGCGTTAAGGCTTAGAGTGGCGTGCAGCTGGATGTCTTCATGACAGTAGGTTAGCACAACTCTCACACAGGTAAACGTTGCTCAATTATACAATAGAGTTTACTAACTTACTTGATAACTGAGGGATTAACAGCCTTTAGTGCGTCTTATAGCACAATTATTAATTTCTTTTGGTACGGGAGTGGAATCGATCCCAAAATGTTAAACACATGGTAGAAGGTTCCATAGGTAGGTTCCAAGGTAGAAGGTATTCCATACTAGCAGCAGAAAACGGAGCACTTTGATGAACCGTCTGGGCAAACCAACGTTTGCAGTGAAGAAACCCGCACAGTACATTCTTGATTACAGAAAAATTGCAAATAATACTTTATAGCCCTCTCAAATCCGCCAATACGTGAGAAACTCCAACATACTCGTTCTTTTCATGGAAAGCCTCGACAACCATCCATGTGATAAAATGATCGCTAAGCTGGATCACTGGATACTTTACCTCAATGAGAAGTGGTATTTAGCACAGTCCCCCACTTACACGTAAAAGTAGTTGAAAATAAAGGAAGGAAATTTCTTAAATCGGACTAATGTTTTAAGCGATACTCGTGGTGAGACAGCTGGGCCAGTTTAAATTATTGGTTCTACACGAAAGCACCCTCTTCATACCAATCTTGTACTAAAATTATGCGCTTAGATTCGTTAGTTTCTTTTGACTCACATAAAACCAATCCAGTCGAAACCCTTATATCTTTGGACAGATTCGCAAGGATTACAGTAGTTATTTGTTTGGAGAACGAATGGTTTAAGTACTACCCATCCAAAATCGCCGCAGAACTGTTGTATTAGTGTGGCTTTGTTTGCTAGCTTAAGCTATAGTGGACAAATTGGTTCATGCTGCTTATATTTACTTCGGATTTGAAGCACAACCCTCTATTACGCCCTCATAATTTTCATGCCCTTATAAGAAATGGAATTACAGCACTCGGTAGTGTGGTGGTAATAGCTGAAATGTCCATGGACCATGGAGGCCCTACTAGAAGAACGCCCGAACAACTGACGGTTCCAGGTAGATTAATGGAAACAACCAATCAAGAGCTACACGAATTATCAGACTAAGCTCAAGATAGGAAAAGTTGATAGCCCCTGGTGCCATCTGTTAGCAGTTTAAACTTTTTTTTTTTCTTTGAAATCTGCTACCTAAAACAAAAACAAATCGATCGTGAAAATAGATCTTTTTGAAAGGTGTAGGCATTCATTTACTAATTGGTACACAATAACATAAATTTCCAAATATGTCCTAACGCATGATCTTTGCTCCAACCATAAAAAACGGTAGCTTGCGCCGTTGCAGCTTCCTAGCAGATTTTTGGCATTAGTGTGGTTGACAATCACCTTGCCGCGTGGGGTCGGGTAATGGTCGACTCAACTCACCAAGTCGTGGAGAGGTCTCTTTGTCAGGAGGTCCCTCTGGATAATTGACAGTATGAAGGTGTTGAAGTCGTATGCGAATGTCATAAGCTGTATTGTAGTGACGGCATGCAATGACCTCTAAGTCCTTTGGCCAATGTTAGTATCTCGAAGCACAAAATATCCATTGTCTTTGACAAAACAGCGGCATTATTCACCTTAGTCTTGTTGGTCTACAGTATTTGGTGAAACAATAATGAAGGGGTGTAACCTCATTCATTGCTGTCTTATCTGCCAGAAGGTGGCGTTGTAGGACATTCAGTTCTCCGCTATAAAAACTGCTGCTTTCATGTTAATATACATTATTTGGCATCCATTTAAGCATAATCTATGTTGCACATGTCATGCACAAGAGTGATACGATTTATTCAGCTATTGTTTCACTTGTTTGAAGAAATCTGGCCAGTAAAAGTGGTCTTTAGAATGGAGAAAGTGACCTCTTTATGTTATTTCACATTAGCATTCCATTAATCACGGGTCTATTGAGAATCTGTTGCACAAGACTACTGCAAGCCCACATACACTTGCAACGATTGTAAATATCCTACTAATTTCTTGGAATAACTGACATTGTGATGACCCATTTATCATGCTTTGGATAGGGGTGACCGCTGACAAGTACAAATGCATTCGTGATGCCAATTATTTTTATACTTCCAAGCCTTTATAGAATTGGATACAGGTTAACTTGTCAGAGATGAGCATTATCATCATGACAAGTAAATCAAATTGTAAGGGGCAGGCGTAATGTCGTTGTGAAGGTGCTACTTTTGAGGCTCGTCTAAGTCTGTCACAATGACAAAGGTGTATGTAGAGGAAAAGTTCACCCAATATTCTCTACTTTGAACAGGCCTCCATCAAGGCGAATTTGTTGCCCGTCAGAGAAGTCAAAATGCGACACTTGGAAACTCGAACTCAAGAAAATTCAAGCGTTAAAATCAGCGTCAGCCTCAGCATACCCATCTGATAGCATTTGAAACGAATAGATTCAGATGTGTACTTTGTATGATTAAAATAGGGCGTATATATATCCATATATGTATAAAAATATTTTTTTTGCATTATCGATTTTGGGCGCATACGTATATCCTCATACGCGTGGATGTGTTATATTAATCAAAAATAATTGTTTCCATACTAATTAAAGCGAATGCAATTTCTCACTGGTAGAATTTACTGTATATATATTCCTATATATGCAGAAATGTAACTTTGTATTACTGAAAATTTGGCGGATAAATACCCACATCTATCTGTGTAGGATGTAATTTTTCCTTAATAGTACTAAGCACAGACATATGGATTTATGTGCGAATCCATACTTTTGTCAGTAAAAATAAGTGTGCATATATGCTAGAATGTATATTATTATTTTTTTCAAATTCCGTGCGTACATGATCATATGCATGTAACCGTGATTGTTTTACAAAAATTAGGCATGTATGGATGAATCTCTCTATCTAGGAAATTGTGGAAATTTATTTACACATGTGTGGATGTTTTTGTATTATGGACTTCGGGTGTATAGATATATATACCCACGTGCAGTGTAGACGTATTTTTGGATATACTTAGAAGTATACATATTCTTATATTTTTGGACGTATTTTGGATAATTAAACTTGAGTATGTTGTAGCGGCCCGAGACCTCACCGAAGACAAGAGAAGACATGATACTCAGACAGAATATATACATTCGACATACGGAGGGTATTTGGGATAATGGCACGGCCCTAAGGCCAGCCCTCCCAGCGAGGTACAATGGCTAAGTCAAAAGTGGCTCCTTACCAAAATTGGTCGGTCAAAAAACTTCCGAATTATTACAATATGCGCATCTAAATATGTGGGTGTATTTTTCTACTATTGAACTTTAGTGCATGTATGTCCATATACTTGTGGACACGTTATTACATGTTTGAATTTGATTACATACATATGTATGTCTATATATGGTTGGAATGTATTTTGGACTATAAAATTGAATAAATATATGTTTATGCATATATTGGTACATGATTTATTCATAATTTTTTTGTATATGCATGCTTATACATGTGCAAGAATGCATTTTGGTCTTATTGAAATTTAGCATGCGTATCCGAACATGTGAATGTGTATTTTACATTATTTTAATTAAATTTATACCCATCCATATACCTGCGCATCTAATTTCATTGAGTTTGGGTGTACGTATACTTATATATAGGGTAGATGAAAATTTGTATTTTCTTGAATTTTATTTGCTTTCATTTCTATACATATGCGGAAAGCATTTCCGTATGAATTAAAGTAGGTGCGCACACAACCATATGCGGTAAGATGTGTTCGTATTGTTAAATTTAAATATATACATATGCATATACTCATCGATGTATTATTGTATTGGTGCAAACGAGCTAATGCCTACTTCTATATATTAATGCATTTTTGCATTATTGAAAATGAGTGTTCACCTTTCCACATATGCGTAAGGTACATTTATTATTAGAAAAACTTGAGTGTATACATGTATATTTAGGTTAATATTTGTTTTATTGTAATTAATTAAAACATGTACAATACTTATGAGAATTTTTGGTATTATTCAAATTTAGTATATTTGCATAAAAAGGTACAAATGCATTTTTAAATTGTCGAATTTGGGTGGACACACATATGCACGGTTTTGGATGCTATTTTATATTACAAAAATTAGGTGTATACTTGTGCATAAATGGACAGGTAATTTTAGAAAGCGATTTTAGGCCTAATAGTACTCATATACTTGTAGAGGTGTCGTTTTTTGCTTGGAAATGCATTTATTTTTTCAAAATAAAGTGTATTTTTCTATATAAATACCCGCATGCATTTTCCACCCATATATAAAATACGTATTTTGTTAATATTAGGTTTTTACCCATGCATATACCTGTAGATGCTTTTAATATGTAAAACTGAGTGTGCATATCCATTTTTTGGGTGATGATGTATTTTTATCCTAGTGAAATTGAGTAAACACATATCCAATATGCATTTTTTATTGATGCAATTGCGTGCATACATACCCATATGCCTGTTCACATGCATATCTGTCCGTGGAAATTAATTGCGTACATTTCAATGTGTGTGTAAAGGTGCATTATTTTTCTACTAAAAATGAGGGTGTACATAATTTTATATTATGGATGTGTTATTTGATTAGTTAAGTGCAAAAATGCTTATCCATTTAATGTGGGAACTAATCTTGTATTACATAAGTTAGATGCTTGCTTACCCATACACGTGTGGATGTGGTTTTGCATTGCCAAAACTAAGTGTATACATATCTACACGTGTGTGGACTTTAATTGCGCATTAGCAAATTTGTAGGTTTATTAGTCCAAATACGCATACATATGATTCTGTGTTGGCGAAATTGAGTATACACATGTCCACATAAATTTGGGCGTGTTATTTGATCCAATTTGAGTGTATTTATGCCAATATATGTAAAATACATTTTTGCATTATTCAGTTCTAGTGCATACATATCCATATTTGTGTAAACATTTTTTACTAACATTGAGTGTCCACATTACTATATGTGGAAGTGATAACGCACATATCTATATATTCAGGCATTTTTGTGAAATTTAGCATATGCAAATTTGTGTTTGTGAATGAGTAGTCGTATGTTGATATTTAGTGTTTGCATATTTATACATGCGTGGATGGTTTTCTATTGGCAAAATTGAGCGCGTATCTGTACATGTATGTGCAGATGTATTTTTTGTTTCCTTAAATTTGAGTACATACATTACCATACATGTGTGGAGACGGGGTTTCATTATTATGCTTAAGAGTATACATTTTCATCCATTTGAGGATGTATTTTTAGTAAGATTTTGTGTGTACGTATCCATGTCTGTGAGCATATTTCGTATTAGTAAAATTTATCTTTCTCGTACACGTGTATGTTTGGGGATGGATGTTCATTTGTCAAATGAAGTTAATACATATCCATATATATGTAAAGAGGTATTGTTGGGTTAGTAAAAAAAAGATGTATGCTTATTCATATACGTGCAGATGCAGTTTTCATATTGAATTTGCGTGTTTACAAATAAGTATTTCCATTTTTTACTTTAGATAGGCATAAATAATTGATTTTCAAGTGCGATTACTTAAATTTTTTATTTTTGAAACTTTTTAAGTACCTTTGCTTGTATGCGCTGATGTATGCTTGTATTGGGGGAATTGATATTTTACGTGCGCATGTATGTGCAAATGATTTTATTGAAATTGTTCATGTGTGGGTGTATTTTTGTGCATTTGATTTGCAGTATGCATAGATGCGTACATGTGTAGTTTTATTATATACGCACGTTTTTTGCATCCATACAATTTTGCAAACATTCGTAACTATGTATGTTCGGCTTTTTTTGTAGTATATATGTTTTTATTATTAATTAGGCTTGTCATAAACCTTACGGCACATTTTCTCCAATTTTGTTGGTTTTCTTTTTTTGCAATTGATTGCTCATAGATATCTTTATGGGGAATGTTGCAGTAGAATGTTTTGCATTTGTATGTACGAATATATATTTTGTATTTGCGTATTTGCATTTTCGCAACTGAGCACACATATTTGACTGTGTTTACATTTTTATGTTTTTTAATTAAACCCATTCATACAAACTTGTCTTTTACTCTTATATACATACAAATGCTTTATTTTATGCTCATGGACCTCCAATTATGCTCATGCATATATACCTTTGATGCATGCATGTACGAATGCATACATTAATCTACTTTGTTTTGGATCTATATCTAGCAAAATATGTGCTTAAAGATACCTTGTGCTTATGTCCACATATGCACCTTTGTTTGCGCATTCATTACATATATGAATGTATATTTACGTATGCATTCCTATATGCTTCTATGTAATTGTACATGTATGTTTTTACGTCTGTGTGTGGATGTATTTAGATGTGCCTATATATGTTTGGGTCTATGCACTCATGTGTGAATAAATGTAAATATGCATGAATGTTATCATATATATGTATGCGCACAAATCCCTTTTATTTATGCATATTTTGTTTTATAGGTATGTCTTGTGTATATGTATCTGTATTTGTGTGTGAATGTGTGTATTTATGACTGTTTAAGTGTAAATATGGCTGTAGGTGGGTGCGTATGCTTGTACATATGTGTACACTTATATGCATGAGTGTGTGGTGCTATATGCACATATACCTGTATATTTTTGTATATGTATATATGCGTACATGTACTTATGAATGGGTACTTGTATTTATTTTGGAAATAGCTTATATGAGCGTGTATTTGTGGATGCTCAATTAGCGTGTGAGACCCCATCAAATACTTTGCGGTTTTCGCATATATATCATTGTTACCCGGGGTTAATTTACCAAAATTCTGACAACTATATCAGAATGCAAACATGAGCATTAAGTTTCACAATGCATTTATGCACAGTTCCAAAGATACCCATTTCGTTTGCGCACACCTTTCATCACATCATTTTTCCGGAATTAGATGAGGGTGTATGCTTATTTCAGTGTATTGCACACCGTACACGAACAGTTCACCTCCATGGACTCCACTTGCGACATAGTATGAAGGCGCGTTGCCATCTAACGCCAAGTGCAGCATTATCCTAATGCAGTTGTTTAGGCTTCCATGTACTTGTACAAATTACAATGCACTTTAGACAAGCCACAAATTTGTGGAGAAGTCGATTACTGCTAGCACTTTTCAAGCAGACACTTTGCGTCATCGCCTGAGATTGGTAGTGTTTATTCCAAAATTTATCGTATAGATTACGGCACTTTCTACAATAACTAGATTTTAACCTGATGATTGGCAAAAAAGAGCTCCTATATTTCCTTAATTTGACATGTAACATTAGTGTTTTGCATTGTCTTGCGTTTAAAATGATGCTATAATTTTATAATTTTACAAGATGAACTAATGTTCAATTTAAGAGAAACGAGTTGTGCAGATGATTGGATTAATTGTTCGATCAGGCGCATTCTAACATGCATCATAGGGTAGAAAATCTTAAATAATGGTCCACGGAAGTAGCATGATCGCCGAGCAAATCACAGTAATCAGTTGAAAGTCTTGGAGTTCACTCGTTTGTAAGTTGAACTAGGTTCTCATTTACGAATGCATTTTGCATACAAAAACTATTTGTTTGACTGAATTAAAGTTAGAATTAGTTAATTCAAAGCAGGAGACTGAAAAGTGGGACCTATAAGTCTGTTTAAGTGAAGACGAATTTCGTGGTCACATTTACGTCTATTTTTACTATAGGGCAGTGAGGAATTGGGGATGGCAGTGTTGTCGAAGTGATATTTGCACACCGTTAGTGAAGGTGGTAGTGTAGATCACCTGTCAAATTTAAGTGAACTCATGGATGTGATGTTTTGGAAGAAAGCCACAATAGTCGCAACGACAATTCCTCATTTCGTACTACTTTGGTACAGTGCTGGATGTAGCTGCGACTGTAGAATTTTTGTTCATATTCATTGGTTTTTACCATTGGCATTGATCTATCATACATTCACTTATCACTATTTTGGGAGTTAAATGACGTCATTATGCTCTTGGTCCTACTTGTTGTGCATATCTAGAAACTTATCAACGACTGCAATACTTCGTATTGTCTTGCTGGTAATGTAAATGCGCGTAATTATGTTCACATGAATTCCGAATAGAACTTACCTTATCTGTGTAAGCATTTAAAAAACAAAAAATTCCCACGTATGACCAGCATATTCATCAACTATTGTATATTGTAAATGGTCATTTTACCAACACTTGACATGATTTTGATTGCCAGGTAATGCTAATTTTAAAGAATTAGGCCATCTGCTGTGGCCATAAACTGGCATCACATGTAATTAATCTTAACTAACGTTTTGTTATCGTTGAGCACATGGAGGCAGTATGCAAAGAAGTTTTGTAAGATTTTTTTGAATTACGGAATTCTAACCTTTGTATTCTTTCCTCGGTCTTTCTTTAGTACTTTAAGATGAACGAGTTTAGAGTACTAAACTGATTGATTATAGTTTTCGCAAGAATTCTGACTTTCGCATTTGTTAAAATTTGGAGGTCCTTGCCTTTCTCCCTCCTTCCCAATATTTACATTGCTTTAAGATCCACGCTCTGCATTGCATTGCTTGGCCAAAGCGTAGGCTAAGATGAAGTAGATTAACTGGCTCGTAAAATGTTAGAGTGCAGTGAATTCTGTCAAAAACGACCCCAAAAAATCAATTCTACAACCACTTTAAAGCTCAGTCTGCATGAAACCTATATGTGCATTTACAGGAATACCTTATGACGTGTAAATAAAAGAATGAACAAATGGACAATAATTGTGGATAGACCCAGGAAGGCCCATTGCAGTTAAAAAACTTGCATCTAAGTTTACATTTGTGACTTCTAATCGTCACGAAAATGATAGATATGCAGGCCGTCCCTTTATTCACCTAGTTTTGTGCATGACATGCGACTTGTATAGCTTGAATTGAACCAGTGTTTCATAATTAATTATTCACAATTGTATAATCCTATTTTTTTGCTCCATAGTTCTTCCGAATTTTAACAACCCTCTTGTCATGGTCAGCAAGAATTTTAGTTCAGACTCGACATTCACAAAATTATTTAGAACAGATTTCACCCAATGAAGTGGCATTATATAAATTAATGATGTTTTAAATTTGTTTCTTTCTTAGTTTTGCTGTTCAGGCAGGCAAGGCATTTACTCCAAAGCTTATTATCTTTCTTTTGTGCCAAAAAGACGGAGAATGTGTGAATTGATACCACTAAAATAGAAGTTTTAATGTTGAAAAGTAATTTAAACATTTTGAAACTTTACTTTGATGAGATTTAACAAATTATTTAAAAGGGGGCATAAATATATTCGAGATGGAGAATAGGGTTGCACTTTTGCTTGCTTCATTACAATGCAGTAATTTTCACTTCATAATAATTGCTCAGGATCATTTTATCAAGACACTGTTGACGATCTTTCTTCATGTAAACTCAGTACATTGCACCTGTTCCAATTTCTTTTCCAAGTGATCTCTTGCACAAGTTTAAAACACCTGAGGAGCAAATCAGGTCAAGAATCATTATATCACATCGAAGTAGCCACGGGCTGATGCTCAAAACATTGGCGCGATGCTCAATAGCGGGTCTGCTTAATAGCCACCTTGAGGGAGGTGATACTGCGAAGCGTAAATACGAAGTTATGTATTTAAATACACTTTGGTAGTGCCCCGAATAACACCTTACTTTTGAGGTCCTATTAGGAATGCTGGCTAATTCTGAGTCTTTTGTCGTCAGAATTCCGTAAGATGGAGAGCACCAGGCTAAAACGTATCACCGAGAAGGATGGTAAGTTGTACACAGGTGCGAGACATGGCCAAGTTTAAAATCGCGGAGACAGTAGGCATGGAGGGGGTAGTTGTCGAAAGAAGGCACAAAAGTACTTTCCTGATTAACTGTTTCAGTGTGCATGATTGGTGGGCGCAATGTGATTCTGCTGTTAGCAAGAGGTGATTAAACTTGCCTGCCAGATCCAAAACTTTGTTTTATTTTCTCTGCAGCCTGGAAATAAAATTCCTTAGAAGGTGTTTCATGAACCTCACTTACCGTCAGATAGCGTGCTTTGAATAAAATATCGTAGAGGTCCACTGATTTATTTGTTTTAAAATTTGGACAGTTGATCCTCAGTTAATGTAAAATGACATAATGATATCATATTTCTATTTAAACTAACTTATTTTTATCAAAGCTACGTATCCGTGAAGGACAACCAAACTGATCAGTGAGGTGGTGGAAGTTAATTTACTCTATTTGTTGACTTCTTATCCCCTGATTATGCATTTTCTTTAAGTGGAAAGGAATCAATTCCAAATGCACGAATCAATGCATTATCTGGTCCATAAACACCTTCAAAAGTCTGTATCTTTTTGGTATGGTCACCTTTTTCAAAATACATATGCTTCATTCGATTCTTATTGTACGGAACCAGTAAGTGATGCATCGCAGATGATATTCGCTCTGCCTCTGGCTGCATTGTACACATTCACACATAGGACTATACCAATTACCATTCAAGCATATCCACCTTCTATTCGATCGTCCACTCAATAAGGTTCTGCACATTCTACTTTAATAATTGAGAAACAATAAACGAAATGGGTGGTTTAACAATCGCAAATACGGTAGGCATGATTACGCAACTGATGTGGACGGATGTAAAATGTAAGATAACGGCATTGCGGTCGTAACAAAACATTTGCTAATGTTAGCCGAAATCGCCAAAAGAGATTTCAGCGCATAACATCAGTCATCTAGTGAAAGCTGAGGTATAAGATAAAGTGCTAAAGGAGATATTTACTCTTTCAATGGGTCCATTACTAATGCATTCTTCTTAAATTAATAATAACTTATGAGTAGCGCTTTGTTTGCCACGTTGATCTTTTTCATATGGGCAATTTTACGATAAAAATATATCATTTAGGTGAGAACGTATGATACGGTAGCGATGTGAGGCATTAAATTTATTAATTCGTTAATGAAGGAGTTTTGAGAGCAGAGATTTCATGTCGTATGGATTACAGAAGTTCAATCGCTAGTTTAAAATGCACATGGTTCATGAAACAATCAGAAACTTATGTCAAAGGAAGATTCGTCTCCAGTGTAAGGGAAATAAGATACCACGTGCTTTTATCTCAGATATCGCAAAATTGGTAAATGATCCTCAAAGCGTTCGCATCATGCTTGTTGGTCAATGGTTAAACAAACGATGCTATTAAAGTTATGTAATCAATTTTACTACGGGATATTTAGTAAGGAAAACACTCATACCAACAATATGTCATCGAGTAAATTAACAAAATTAATTAAAGGAATTTACACGCCATAAAAAAGCATACCTTTGGACCGTAAGTTGAATAGCATTAATAAATTAGCGATGCAATAACCTTATGCTTTCTGCATTATGCTTGTCAATTTCTTTTGGGGTTTACTAAAAGACAGTCATTAATTTGATATTACACAAATTAAATCAAGTGATTTGGTGTCCTAGGCTTCAATCTCAGGCATCACTAATAAAGCACATCCAACGCGCGTGCCTCAATGCAGTAATTTCACAAATAAGAGGCCACACCTACAATGGCTTTGAGTGTCCATTCAGCTGATCCAACTGAAGGGCATTACCAAAGTGGTTGAGGTGGCTCCTATAACCGTCCTCACCTCCATTTGATACAGCACCCCAAACCACAATGAGAGGTGGAATTTGCCTCAGAATAAGCTAAATTAGCTCCGCAGATTAATCACTCGGTTTCGTATTTCTTTTTTGACCAAAGGTCACAAATGCGTTTTGCTTATGATTTCTACGAGTAGAGGCGAGATATAACCATTGAAAACACACCATCTACAACTATACTCATATCTTTTGATTAACCAAAACTCCACACAGCGTTTTATAGCAATTTACTTGCACACTATTTTTGGGCAGGATTATCGCTTTTTTCCCTTATCGGCTTGCTTAAACCTAATAGGAATTGCAGCAAACGATAATCTAAAAGTGATTGCTTTGATTATTTTTAAGGAGTGCAATTTCGTGTAAATATCTTAATTTTTGGGTGGTACTAGATATAACTACTAGGTATTCAATTTAAAAACAGTATATCTGAGCACAATCTGCCATTTATGGTAGAGTTAAGTAAAAATGCAAATACGAATGGCATGTTATATTCACTATTCTATTATGGTAGAGCGATGACAGGTGAAACGTTGAGCTGTTGTTGTATCAAGGCAGCAAACTGTTTGCAAATTTGGAGGGCAAAAAGCTTATTGCATGTGACTGGCCTCTCGGCTCTAATGGATCAAGATGGAGCATGGTATATATTGCCGCAATGCATTCAGAAGAATTATTCTTTGCCTTTAATGCACTTTAAATATCCACCTGTTAGTTAGAAACCATTTAACAGCGGTGTTAACTTCATTTGCTTTGACGGAATACCTGTACTAAGGAACATTAAAAGCGCACCTAAGAGCTTGATGGCTATATAAGTGGACAGAAAGTAAGAAAATATACCACGAAGACTATTTAGTCCATTTATTTTGATGTGCGGTTAAACAAACATGGAGGGAATGCTAGGGTAAAAAGGTTGAGGATAATCGCTAAAATTGTCGGTCGTCTTTTTGATGATTAAAAAGGGGTTCCAGCGAAGAAGTAGAGAAAGGTAGAAACGCAAACTGAGGAGCTGATGAAGGATTGACATGTATCAACGTATGCCTTAATGCCTTGTTCTCGAGCATCTTGTCATTTATCGTGTATGGAATGTCAGACTGCGCATGGGAAACATTGTCTTCACGGAGCGTCAGCTGATCATCACTAGGATGATGTTAAAACGTGTTAAGTTCCCTGTCACCCCCTTTAAGCTATTCTTAAATACTTTTACATGAGTTGGGTTTAAAATAAAGTAATTTAATCCTTTTGGCGTTCATTTCAGGCTAAGCAGGTATTGCTCCTACTTGTCAACTCTAATAGTTGAGGACAGTAAATTATTTCTAGATGCTGATAACAATAGACGAGCAGAGCAGGAAACTAAGTGTAGAAATTGCAAAAACTGCAAAGATCATAAACAATCACTAGATGTTCAAGCCTTCTTGAAGAACAGCAGCAGTGGTGGTACAAGAGGTGCTTGCAAAAAAGGGGAAGCAACACTAAAATGCGCAACTGCAATGAAGAAGTGCAAAAAAAAGAAAAACATAGAGTAAGAACACAAATTACTTTTCGTTGCCAAATAAAAAGACTTCTTTTTTCTTCTCATATTCGTGGCCAGTATCAATATCATCCTATTTACTTTTTACCGATTTGGCCATTACTCTTTTGGGTGTGTCTGTCTATTTCGAGGTAGGAATTGGATAATTCTGTAAACGCACCAGAACAGTGCAATTTAATCTACAAATAAAGCAAATTAAGTCCAAGACCGATGTACAAAGTCCCTGTGTGGATTTGTGTCATTGACTGTGCACACAATATCTGTTGCACACATGTTGAAGCAAGTGTCTCTTGTGCTACGTAGACTTCAAATGCCACTCATGCATCATTGTAAAACCCCATACCCAAATTTTATCATTAAATGTACTTTTGTGCTAAAAAGAGGTTGCAGAGTCTTCTTATGTTTTTGATAATGTAGCAAAGCGACATTAATTTCTTGACAAGTGTTAACGCGTTCCGAAGAAAACACGTGTAACTACGACCAATCAAGGAATGCAACATAACAGATTCTCACGATGCTAATTTAGCAGGCGCTAAATCTCAATTTAATAACTACTATTTATTTTCAATATG